GTTGATGTTGTGGACCACCTCAATAGAGTTTAACGTGTCATGCATATTAATGTTATGACTCCGAGATCTATGAGTGTCGTTTTAAAAGAATAAGTTTTGGAATCCAAAAAAGATTTGCAACCCAACTTTTAGCTCGTTTACCCACCCGCTATGCTTGTTTAAAACCTTTGTGATTAATGAGAAATTTATAAATGAGTGAAAATGATAAAGTTGAAAACATTAAAACACACATAAATCGTCCGTTTCAAACCACAATGTAAAACATGGTTTGGAATATATTTTTTTTTCTTAATCAGTTTACTTGTTGAACCCAAAAAAATTTCCCCAAACCGTTTAAGGGAGACTATCAAGCTAAAAACCAAAACTAAGATTATATTAAGATAATAATATAATATTAAAAATACCATACAGGATAAAAATATCAAAATATATACAATAACCTTTTTTTTATGGCTTGGATAAATAAAATAATATAAAACTAAATCATTTATAAAACTAAAGTATAAAAACTTAAAAAAAAAAAAAAACTATATTTCGGTAACTAAACAAAATCTAAATTTCTTCCCCAACAACAATCCTCGAATTAAAAGTATTATGCATTTTAAAAAAGTTAGAGGTGTCTTGGTAGAAAAAAATCGAGAAATATTTAAATAAATAAATAAATAAATAAATAGAGGTATTTTTTCTAGAAAAAAACCATCATCCAACGGCTAGAAATGAAAATTTTCCTTATGTACAATCCGCATGATTACAGCACAATATGGAGCCACGAAGCCAATAAAAAAAATGCCATCACGTTACAAGCCAAGCCAATGAAATGATATCTATCCTCTTATCCATATAGAACCCTAGACACCAGTAGGCAAACACACTGATCAATCCACCAATGCTATTCCTACTCGTCTAAACCTTCAGGCTTCAACATATTCGTAAGCAACCATGGCCGGATTACTAGGAACTTCTTCCGCAGCAGCACTACTGAGCTCTCCCTCTATTTCTTCTTCTTCTTCTTCTACGCCAAAGGCGTCAATTCGTGCTCTATCCTTTAATCCAGGTTTTTATGAGAACTTTTTGTATTTCATTCAAGTTAGTGTCATTCAATCAAAATGTGGGGGTACGTTAACAGAACTGTAATGGAATTTTCCTTTTGGCATTCTGTTGGTCACGATTCTTCAATTGCGTTTCATCAGTTGCTTCTAATTTTGGGGGTTTCCGTGAAATTAGGAGTTCTGTGTATGGAATTTTGAGGGTTTATGAATGAAATGGGGTGACTGGCTCAATAATTTTAGAGAAACATATACTAAAATTTACCAGCGTAGCTTTACAGTTTCGCAAAACATTTGCTCTGCTATGGAGTGAAATCTTTGCTCTTCATACTTCACTCTCATCCGTTTTCTTTGGAATTTGAAAAAATTTTCATGAATCAGAACGATTGTTCATGATGATTTTTCCATCGGTTAGAGAATACTGAGTTGTGAATTTAGAGATATCCTTGGAATGTTGAGCTGGATCTCGGATTTTCGGTTTTAAACCTCGTTGTCTTCTATGTTTGGATCTTCACGATAGTATTTGTGTGTTTTATATGAGGCATTATAAAACCAAAACCTAATGCTCGAGCATTCATGTTATGGCAGGTCATACTCAAGGCAGAAGGTTTTATGGAGGTATTGGACTCCCATCGAAGAAAGGAAGGTCTCATTTTTCAATCTCAAATGTTGCCACTGAAATCAGCCCAGCCCAAGAACAGGTACATTGTTTCCCACTTCCGTTTTATCGCAACTAGTGGATTATCTGTCTTTGTTAACCATAGAAACGAAGCTGTTCATTTTCCATTCTATTGAATTCCTACAATTTCATAACCAGACCTTTAGTGCCAACAGGGATGCTGAATGCAGTTTAGGTGTTCGATGAAATGTCTTTGAATCTTGCATATGTATTTTTCTATACTAATAAATACAATGTACAGGCACAGAAGCTCTCAAAGGAAAACCAAAGACCAGTGTATCCATTTGCAGCAATAGTCGGACAAGATGAGATGAAACTCTGCCTTCTATTAAACGTAATCGACCCAAAAATTGGCGGAGTCATGATCATGGGAGACAGAGGAACCGGAAAATCCACAACCGTCCGATCACTCGTCGATCTCCTCCCCGAAATCACCGTCGTCGCCGCCGACCCCTTCAACTCCGACCCAGAAGACCCCGAATCAATGGGCATGGAAGTCCGAGAAAAACTAATCAAAGGCGAACAACTCCCAACCCTAAAAGTCAAAATCAACATGGTTGACCTCCCATTAGGAGCCACTGAAGACCGCGTATGTGGCACCATCGACATCGAAAAAGCCCTCACCGAAGGAGTCAAAGCATTCGAACCCGGTCTTCTCGCAAAAGCCAACCGCGGGATTTTATACGTCGATGAAGTAAATCTTTTGGATGATCATTTAGTCGACGTGCTTCTCGATTCCGCGGCCTCAGGGTGGAACACAGTCGAACGTGAAGGGATATCGATTTCGCATCCCGCGCGTTTCATCCTCATCGGATCGGGAAACCCTGAAGAAGGTGAACTCCGACCGCAACTTCTCGACCGATTTGGGATGCACGCGCAAGTGGGAACGGTTCGTGACGCGGAACTTAGGGTTAAAATTGTGGAGGAGAGAGCGCGATTTGATAAAAACCCTAAGGAGTTTAGGGAAACGTATAAAGCGGATCAAGAGAAGCTTCAAGAGCAGATAACGGCTGCGAGGAGTTGTTTATCGGAAGTGGTGATTGATCATGAACTTAGGGTTAAGATTTCGAAAGTGTGTGCGGAGTTGAATGTTGATGGGTTGCGTGGTGATATTGTGACGAATAGGGCGGCGAAAGCTTTGGCGGCGTTGAAGGGGCGGGATACAGTGACGTCGGAGGATATTGCGGTTGTGATTCCGAATTGTTTGAGACACAGGTTGAGGAAGGATCCGTTGGAGTCGATTGATTCGGGGTTGCTTGTTATTGAGAAGTTTTATGAGGTTTTTAGTTGAAGGAGATGAGTTTTGTATGTGTATTTGTGATTGATTCTTTTTGGTTTACATGTGATTCGACTCTATATGGTACGTTTTGATAAATGTAGATTCGTTTAATGAGAGCTATCTACTAGTTGTTCCAACTTTTGATATGAGATAATGTATGCTATTGTTGTTCAAATTCATAATAACTTGCCAATTACAAAGCGTGAGGTTACTTCATATATGTTGATTCAAGTAGTGTACAATGACAATAAGTAATACATACACTACCATTAAGGAGTAGACCATATCCAGGCATGATGTACCATTATTGAATTTGAATGTAACCTGTTGGAGTTTAAGAAACTAAATTATTTTCAAGATATCTGCATGGAATGGGATATATAATGGGGTTTAGCAAGATAGAAAGATTGTCTATTATATCTTGAATCGTTTGTGGATGCTACAAGAAATACACAACATGCAAACAGTTGAGAAAATGTTTACAATATTATTATTCACTTATATATTTCTTAACATAACATATCCACATCGTTCATATTCTTATAAATTATATACTATAGTAGGTCGTGTTTTTTTTTCATGGATATCACGTAGTTTTAACTTCCTCTTTATAATATTTTCGTATTGAAATATACATGTATGGCATTTAATTTTAATTAATAAACTGAATACTTGCACTAAAAAAAACTCTTAACGCTTTTAAATTTTTTAATTTTTAAAAATGTCACATTATACTATAACATAAAGTAAAATCACATAAATTATTAAATATGAAAACCATCTATCAATAACAAAAACAGTTATATTTTAATAAATAATAATGTCACGTTAAATTTGAAATTATATTATTCATAAAAGCAAAATAGTTGGTATTAAACCCGAAAAGAAATAGGGCCGGGGTTAGGTCTCTACTCTTTTGTTTCGTCCCACATGGATGCGAAGGGATAAAGAAAGCCGGTATAAATAGAACAGAGAGGGAAGGAGAAGCACGACCTTACTTGAACAGGATCTGTTCTATAGGCTCGTACCTCTGTATTCTTGATTCCTAAGAAGACAGAAACCCATGTCTGGTTGATGAACCACGACCATGTAGCCAGAGCGTGATTAACAGAGCTTCATGGTCTCGGCTATGGCTCAGTAGATGATCGTTGCCAATCCATCTGATGGGTCCTGGCATGGCTACATGGTTGTCTGACAGACAATCTCTTTCTTTTTGGTCTGGTGATGTTTGACGAAATTCTTTTTGGCTAAATTGGAGATGCAGAGCAAGTGTTCGATGAAATGCCCTGAAAGACATTAATGTTCTATTCTACCTGCCATGACTCTTAGAGGTAAGCTAAAAAGCTGATGTCTGAACAATTTTGTGCAAAAGACACTTACTTTGTATTCTCCTGTTCTATTTTATGATTGATGGGTTTGTGTCTGATTACTGGAATATGAAATGTTTTGGAGTTATATGGAAAATGTGGCCAAAGTAGAGATGCATAGCATGTGTTTGATGAAATGCCTGAACGAAATTACTTTATTTTATTCTTCTGTCAATGTTATATACTTATGTTTTATGTTACTTAAAAGGTTGTGTCCAAACATTTTTGTACAAAGGATTCTCTCTGTATGCTGCTGGGCTATTTTATGATTGATGGGTTTATCAAGAATAGTAGAACTCTTTGGTGCAAAACAGCAAGTTGATCATGATCTTGATGTTAAGATATCAAAAGTTGGTGCGAAATTGAAACGTGGATGGATTGTGGGGTGATATTTATTTTTTTTAAATGTGTTTGTGATTCTTTTGACAGCTTTGTTTCATGGTCAATAACTCAATATCGTTGCTATTTTTATTATTTTAGAACATGTGAAAATTCAAATCAGGTAGTCAGGTACCAATAATCTCATAAATGATCAGGTTGGAACACTATTTCCAAGTTAATTGACATATGACGCGCATAAAAAAAATACATAACATAAAATAAAACACTTTTACATCTGCCACAGACAATTTATTTAATACAAATAAGCTTGCAAGTTTATCTTTGATTCGACTTCCATCACGTTTCTATAAATTTTTGCTCAATGATTCCAGGAACATTATTAGAACTTGAGTGGTTTTTGTGCCAGAATTTAGACGCCCTTTCTTGAAATTCCGGTGGTCGCCGGAAAACGAGGGAGGCGGCAGCTATCAAGATTCCGGCGGTTAGAGCCCATATCACATACACCCTGTTATTTGTTTTATGAGAAAAATAGTGAAGCAAGTATTTGTCTCCCCTATGTTCTTTCTCTTCATGTCGTCTGTTTTCATCCTTGAGAAACATTTCCAAAGGTGCATAGAATATGGATTCCACTTCTCCAGGATTTGGAAGCGGATTAAATGCTTGTTTATCCCATAGTATACCCATCACTGGAACTACTGTGATATTCTTCTGCAATTACAATCAAATAGTTGACTACATGTTGAAAACGACTACATAAAAGCTATTGGGATTCTTACAAATCGTTATTTCATAACAAAAGTTCATTTAAAGTAAATTCAATATCTAATTCATATTGAAATACAAACTGGAGAAAATAATCTTACCTTGGTTACAAAAGGTTCAAGAACAGTAATAACATCTACAAGGTTGGGATCCAAGCCAATTTCCTCCTCAGCTTCCCTCAATGCGGTTCGAATATCATCTGTATCCTCTTCGTCTGTTCTACCTCCAGGCAACGACACTTCCCCTGCAAAACGAACACATTTCAAGGGTTCAATTTCATTCATGCATTTCATCGAATATCTAAAGTGCATGGCTTTCTTTACCAGAGTGAGACGACAGCTTTGATGATCGTTGGGTTAAAATAACATAGATGTCATCTCCTTCCTCGAATAAACATATCAGAACTGCAGCTCGGTTGGGTCTTTTGGATCTTTCGGATTGACCAATTGAGGGGTCATCTGAAATTGGGAAAACAGACTTTGATTTACGAAATCGTTGAGACAAGTCCAATAGCTTCTGTGATCTTCTAAAGTTATTGGAATCCATGAACAATATTCAATCCAGTTACCGTGTGTGTGCTGGTAAGTTAGATCATATATGGGTTAATGGTCAACGTTACTGTAATTTAAAATAGATACCAGATCTTGTTTATTGATAATAATAATTAAAAAAAAAACACACACACAAATTTGATATGGGTTAATAGTCAACTTTTATTTATTGATAAAAAAAAATACAAATTTGGTATGGATTAATAGTCAACTGCCAGACAATTTATTTATTCTTAAAAAAGATGCAAATTTGGTATGGGTTAATAGTTGTTAGATCTTACTTAACAACTTATTTATTGTTAAAAAAAAAAGAACGTACAATTGGTATGGGTTAATAGTCAACTGCCAGATCTTATTTAACAATTTATTTATTGTTTGAAAAAAAGGCGCAAAATTGGTATGGGTTAATAGTCAACAGCCGGATCTTATCATACATACTTATAAAGCTAACATTTTTTCTTAAACAAACACACGAAAGCAGTGTACCTATCGATTAATAGTATAGTTCAAGCAGGGATATCGAACACAGGGAATAGTAACAATCAAATTAAATACTAGTATTATCTAATTAAAAACAATTAATAAAAGGGGGGGGGGGTTCTCTAGTTTTGCAATACTAGAAACATAAACAAGCACTTTAGAACTCAAACAAAGACAATTAACAACTAAGAATAACAAGAAAGAACAACTAGATTCAATGATAAATAGATTTATGTTTAGATTCGATTCACTTATTTCTGTGGTTGATTTCGTGGCAAGTGCAATGAATTAATATGTCAATGGTTACCGATTCCTAATGTGATTGGGTTCATGTTCATTATTACCAATCCTTTAGTAGACAAGTTAATTCAAACAGTGATCAAGTGATTAAATTAACAAGTTTCCTAGTGTTCAATTCGTATCAAGCAAGACTTATAACAATAGTTAATCAAATTTGTTCAATTTAATCAACTCATGTATGGTTGTTCATCACACATGCTCACACATTGATTTACACATTTTCTAGTTAACCCTAGTTTCATATTCACTATTCCTAGGCATACAATCTTATATTCATAAAACTATATGAATCAAGTAATCAAGAAGATATTCATGCAACTCAATCACTTCTTTGTTAACTAAAAACATTTATCATCAATACATAAGGATCTTTAATAAGCTTATCAAGATGGATAACCAAATTAATATCAATTCAACCACTCAATCAAACCATGCTCATAAGATTATCTCATCCAAACAGAAGTAAAAAGCTTTTAGCTCATATCTACAGCAAATAATAACCTAATTTCAAAATCTAATGATTCAAATGTAACATCTTGAAATTTAGGTAAAGCTATTTAACCCTTCCATTTTGTCAAGTTGTCAAGATTAGTCCCTTGAGTGACTTCTTGTAGCAAATGAGTACGCTGAGCGTACTGGGGCAGAGAGTGCCCCATTACGAGATAGTTGTTTGAGGTTGACATTGATGACTCCGGTGTTGGATACCATTCGGGAGGCCCAGGTAGAGGCCATGAGACCAGAGAACCGCAAGCGAGAGCGGGTGATCGGATAGATATTTAAGCTCATTGCCGATAACCGGGGGCTTATAACCTTCCAGGGCCGGATTTGGGTGCCATTTGATGGCGGGCCACGTACCATTTTGATGGAGGAGGCGCACAGGTTGAGGTTTTCAATCCATCCCGGGGCCACTAAGATGTATTTGGACCTGAAAAGAGACTATTGGTGGCCATGTATGAAGAGGGACGTGGCGTGGTTTGTAGAGAGGTGCTTGACCTGCCGCAGGGTTAAGGCTGAGCACCAGTGTCCACATGGCAAGTTGCAACCACTTGAGGTTCCCTAGTGGAAGTGGGAATAGATTTCCATGGATTTTATCACCAAATTGCTGAGGACTGCGAGAGGCGTCGATTCAATTTGGGTGATCGTCGACCGGCTGAAAAAGAGCGCTCATTTTCTTGCTATCAGTGAGAGCTCCTCCTCAGAGAAGCTGGTAGAGGTGTATGTGAGGGAGGTGGTATCGCGGCATGGTGTAGCAATCTCGATTGTGTCAGATCGAGATATGCGTTTCACTTCCAGGTTCTGGAAAAAGTTCCATGAGGAGTTGGGTACTAGGCTGCATTTCAGTATCACTTACCACCCATAGACGGACGGACAGAGTGAGCGGACAATTCATACGCTCAAGGACATGCTTCGAGCATGTGTGTTGGACTTCAGAGGGAGTTGGGACACGTATCTGCCTTTGGCTGAGTTTTCTTATAACAACAACCACCATTCGAGCATTGGTATGCCTCCCTTCGAGTTGTTGTATAGGAGTAGGTGTCGGACTCCCATTTGTTGGGGAGAGGTAGGGCAGCATCGAGATAGTACTTCAGACGACCGAGCAGATTCAGCGGGTTAGATAGAGGTTGCTGACGGCCTAGTGTCGCCAGAAGAGTTGCGTGGATAGTGACGATCCGAGCTCGAGTTTCAGGTTGGAGATCTTGTACTCCTGAAAGTGTCTCCTTGGAAGGGAGTGATCCGATTCAAGAAAATGGGCAAGTTGGGGTCCTAGTACATTGGACCGTTTAGGGTGATCGTGAGGGTGGGCAGGGTAGCATATCGTTTGGAGCTACCTGCAGAGTTGAGCCATATCCATGATACCTTCTACGTGTCTCAGATGAGGAAGTGTATAGCCGATAAGTCGGCAGTGGTACCGTTGGAGAGTTGCGTGGATAGTGACGATCCGAGCTCGAGTTTCAGGTTGGAGATCTTGTACTCCTGAAAGTGTCTCCTTGGAAGGGAGTGATCCGATTCAAGAAAATGGGCAAGTTGGGGCCCTAGTACATTGGACCGTTTAGGGTGATCGTGAGGGTGGGCAGGGTAGCATATCGTTTGGAGCTACCTGCAGAGTTGAGCCATATCCATGATACCTTCTACGTGTCTCAGATGAGGAAGTGTATACCCGATAAGTCGGCAGTGCTACCGTTGGAGGATATCCAGGTGGATGCAAGTCTGAATTATGTTGAGAGACCGATCGCGATCTTGGACCGGAAGGTAAAGGTTCTGAGAAACAAGGAGGTTGTGACAACCGTCATATTCGGGTCAATTTGTGACAATCGTCAATCTTGAGTCAAGTCAAGTCATCAAGTCAAGCCGGTCAACTCTATTAAACCTTGTGTATTAGGTCGATGATTCGATAAAGCAAGAACATATGAGTTTTTGATTCGCAATTGGATTGATGATTGAGGGATGATTCATGAAGAAAAACGCGAAGTCAAGGACTATGAAATTGTTGGTTGCAAGAATTTAAAAACTCGATTGTGGAGTTGTTGATGCTCATTTTGCGAAAGTAAAACAATCGAGTGTTCGCATCTATGAATCAATTTGAAGTCAATTGGGTTAATTTTCGCATATGGGTTCAACATATGAAAATTTTGATTTCGCAAGTTTAGAGTTCAAGAACTAAACTGTGTTCGCATCTGGAATGAAAAATTTTGTGAATCGCATTTGATTAATTAGGTTAAAATGCGAAGGGATGCGAAGGGTGTAAGAATGAAAATGCGAAGGTGATTAATGCGAAGGGATGCGAAGGGTGTAAGAATGAAAATGCGAAGGTGATTAATGCGAAGGGATGCGAAGGGTGTAAGAATGAAAATGCGAAGGTGATTAATGCGAAGGGATGCGAAGGGTGTAAGAATGAAAATGCGAAGGTGATTAATGCGAAGGGATGCGAAGGGTGTAAGAATGAAGATGCGAAGTATTTCACAGTAGAATGCGAATTGGGGAAAGAAAACAGAAGATTTCAAATATTGTCCCTGGAGTTTCGCATTTTTGGAAATAAATACTCAACTTCGCAAATGGGGGTCATAAAATGATGAAATTGCAGAATTTTTAAAGAGATACACACACGTAGACAACCACACATATATTTAGAAAATTAAACTAAAAAAAAATGGGATATAGACTATTATAAGACATTGTTCTTGACTTTTGAGTCCAAAGACGTATGATCTGAACTTTAATTGTGAAATCGTCCTTGATTGAGTCAATTTCCTGTATAGGAGTAATATATTCCATTGTGCCTTGCAAGTTAAAAAAAAAAAAAAAAAAAAAATCAAAGTCACAAGCAACCACCCCACACCCACTCTATGACCAGCCATACCTCCCCACCTTACCTATGTCACTTCAATGTTCCCTTACACTCAAATTTCACTCACTCCCACGTTTTTGAGCTGGAACAATCAACCACACTCCTCATTTTCTCTCATTTCTCTCATTCCACTAAGTAACAAACATCACTTTTTCTCTCAAACTCTTCTACACAAATTTCGAGATCCAAGGCTGGATTCAAGTGTTCTTCCACACTTAATTCTCAAAAACCTTCAAGGCATCTCCAAGTGTTCTTGAATTAAACACTTCCATTCTTCAACAATAATCTACTGAAATCACTCAAGGTGAGTTCATACCCCTACATTTTCATGTTTTCTCAAGTTTTCAGGGGGGAATACAAGTTAAAACACTAAGAACATAACTAGATTTTTCTAACAGCCTTCATCAGAAAAGTTCAACTCCATTCACGGACTGTTTTGGGCATCTTAAACATTTTTGTTTTCAAAACTGTACAAGGTGCAAATAGTTTAAGTTTTTAGCTTTAAAATGACTACTTGCACATCTCCATACGATTTTTCTACAATTTATGGTGATTTTTACAAAACTGCCTATCACTTCAAACAACAATCCGGACCAGTCTGTGATTATGGACTTTTTCACCCAAGTTAGAGGTCATTATAAATTGTGATAAAAATTATGAGCAAACTAGACACATTTTGTGAACTCTCAGAATTTACGGATCTAGTTTTGACTTCGTATGATTTTTCTATGATTTTTCCAAATCAGGGCAGAATTGCTAAATTTTACCAACAGCATGTAAATATCATAACACTTTGTATTATGTTGAGCAAAGTGTATAATCATAAGTTTTAATGTTTGAATGTGATTCCTAGTTAGTTTATCATTATGAACTGAAACTAAAACATTCATATTAAATATTATTCATTCATT